TTAACAGGGTTTCAGTGTTTAACACTTGCATATGACATTGTCTTAGGATGATGATCTTCTGATTGGGACCTTTGGGCCACCCTCGTCTCCTACACTACCATCTACATTATTAACAACACCTATGTCAACATCTACGACACCTCCACCTATTGTTCCCCAGGTTGTGGAGACTCCTGTCCAACCCAACACCATCAGAGGTCGCAAGAGGAGAGCAGAGCATGGAGAAGCGTTGACAGACTACCAGAGAGAACTCCTGCAAGCTGTGAACAAACCTCTTGATGAGGATGAATTTTTTTTATGAGTTTGATCTTCATCATGTTTTGTTCATACTATAGCCTACATGTCAGCTTGTTTTCTGTTGATAAAACACATCGAATCACAAAAAAAAATAAAACAGTACACTATATGTTAGATGATGTTTTATAAATGTGATGTTTGGATTTATTTTTTCTCATTGAATATAGAAGTGGTTTCTTAGAAGAGCCTTTGTTTTCATATTGATGTTAGATATATTGTGTTTTCAGATTAAGGTGACCACCCGTCCCTCAAGATGTAACGTGTGTCCCGTATTTTTATTTTATTTTTCATACCATAAATTACAATACTTAAGAAATATAATAAAAAACTTGTGCCTTGTGAAAAATACATTTGTGCAGCCATCATACCTATTTTTGAAAATAACCAAACAACGCAATCGTATAGAGGTGTCTTTTCATTGATGAAGACTGTGTGGATGGCACAAAAGAATAAGTGCAGACCTCATCAAGTGCTCGAGCATCACCAACAGAAATGGTCGAGCAGCACACGCGAGAATACACAATATTCTTTATTCGTTAAAAATCGATTGCAGCTTTCAGACACTACTTTTTTTTCTAATTTTAATAGTTCGTTTGAGGTGGTCTCTGTGGAGTTATTTTAATGGGAAATGTTCAGAGCGCATTACATGCCAGAGCGCATGATATGCGTGAGCACAAATCTCTCCCATTTGCAAGTGGATTACCATTCACTCTCACACAAAAAAATTACATGTGTGCGCTCAAACCATATCTTTTCTCCTGAATTTAATGTTGCCAGAAGCACAATCTTATGGAGTGTGGGCATCCACTGGCAGAAACATGAATCGGCAAATATGCCAACAGATGTAAATCAGTATTTACATGGCATATCAGTAGTAAATGTATATGTCTCACAGGTGTCCCACAAAATTACATCTACTGTCCTGCAACAGATCTATAGCCAGGTGGTCACCTTACTTCAGAAGATGACAGCTGCATGCTGCCAGCACACTTCATCTGCAGAGGAGGAGGAATAGGTGGCAAACTTCTCTCTCACAGCCAGAGCTTCTCTGGAGGCATTGTTGCTGCCAACCTGTGGATACCCTGCATGCCAGCTGATGGCTCATTGCACAAGGCTGTGCTGCTTGGATCCTCTTCATCAGCAGTGTGCCGATGTGCAAAATGCATGTTGCCTTCACCTCAACTTCAGGTAACACTCCAAGGACTCGCCTGTACAGTCGCCACTTTGAAGCCAGGATACCAAAGGCACACTCCACCATCCTCTGGGCTTGAGACAGGCGGTAACTAAAAACCCTCTGCTCAAGTGACACATTGTGCCCAGGGAATGGCCCTTATCAATGCCTCGTCTGCCACAAAAACAAAGGACATGGCTCCTTCAGCTCCTTGAAGAGGTGTTTTTTTTTTTACCTTAAACCGCATAAACACATTTCATTACACCAAATACACAAAATAATGTTATTTTAAGCAACATCATATGACCCCTTTAAATTACTAAAATAGCCTATAGACCATAATAAACAAATAATAAATCACCACACATAGGTATGATGCGATGACAAATTCAAGCGCACACAGCTTCACCTAACTAATTATTAATTTTGTTTAGTTATGTCATTTATAATTTGAATAAGAGATCAACACCAATAAGCAATAACCAATTTTTTTTAAAAAAAGGTTTTATTTATTACATAATAGACCGGATTTTATTGTATTTTTTCAGGAAACGGGCAGACTAGAATAAATAGCGACACAGTAGCGAACAATAAACGATAGAATTGGTGAAACAAAAATTAAATAGCCTAATGAATCCAAAGTTTGAACATTTATGAGTAGGCTAAAACATCTAAATATGATATCTGGATTGCTGTCAGATGCTGAGCCCCAGGACACATCACTTATCTCCCCACCATCAGACTCTCCATCACTCACGGCATTTAGTGCTTCTAATACCTCTTCGGCATTCATAAATCACTTTTTTTTACACATTGTGACTTTATTTATGAAACTGATAAATGCTAATTCAGTGAGTGAAAGGCGTTGCCTAGCAATGAACAATGTTAAAACATAGGCGGCGTGAAAATACAGGCATTATATAGTGACCCCCTGGCGCTTATAGGTATAAATGCTCTGGTTTTATCTAAACAATTTTTAACAAAAGAGGTTTATAAATTACACAATTTTAGTAAAAGTCAATGACTGGGAGACTTGAATGTTTTATTGAAAATCTGTTATGTACATTTGAAAAACTGTTTCTAGTGTTAACAATACTTTGAGCATTTATTGATCAAAGTTAATGTTAATTTCAACATTTACTAATGCATTATTCAAATCAAAAGTTGTGCTTGTTAGCATTAGATAATGCACTGTGAATTAACATGAACTAACAATGAACAACTGTATTTATCAACTAACATTAACAAAGATTAATAAATACTGTAATAAATGTATTGTTCATTGTTTGTTCATGTTAGTTAATACATTAACTAATGGAACCTTATTGTAAAGTGTTACCGAAATCTGTAATATAAAAGGGAGTTATAGTTGCAGTGAGTAGTGCAAGAGCCTGCATTTGAATCGTTTTATCATTGTCACTTTGATCTCATTGTAAATCCTAAGAATCGATAGATGCTAGGGTTGTCAAAAGTACCGACTTTGGTACCAGTCGGTACTGAATTTAAAAAATGTGAAGATACCAACATTTCCTGCTAGCATTTGAGCGGATTCTTAAACACAGCTGATTGGCCATTGTGTTCACACAATCAACCTTGGCTACAATGATAATCGCTTCATGCTCTTCACGAACGCTTACACAGATACACACAGGAGCATTTGAAAGCCGCGTCTATCAGCAGATCCCTAATGACGGATCCGCTGACAGATGCCTCCCAGTCAGCAAATTTCCTTTGGTTCGGATCTGGCCCATATCAACCGCTAAATTGTGGCCAAGATTAGTACGTGTATGCCGGCCCAGAACTAGTCCTCAGCTCAACATACCCAAGTGTCCACTTTGTCTTCTGTACAAGCATATACATTACCACAGGCCAAGCATAAGTCACTTAGGTCTTCTATGAAAAAAAACAACAATTATATATATATATAACAACCCTCAAGATATTATACATAGTAATGACATTTACATAAATCACATAATTTACCCGATTCATTTAGGAGGTACTGGCCAATGTCCTCACGTATGACAGCAATGTTGTAAGGATCACATGGGAAATTCAGGTTACCTCCTGTTAAAATGGCTTCTGCAAACTTAAAAAATGAGAGAGAGAGAGAGAGAGAGAGAGAGAGAGAAACAGAAAAACAATGAAAATAAGTAACAAAAAAAAGGCTTAGTTTATAACAGCTACATACTTTGCACACAAACACTCCACATGAATTGCCATCTGTCTGTAAAATGTGTGGTAAAGTCACACATTTCCTTGTAGTGCCCTGGAATCCTTTGTGGTCCATGAAACCCCTTTAAGAGAGAGAGAGAGAGAGAGAGAGAGAGGGTTAAACACACACACACACACACATTTGATCAGGTTCATCATGCATTGTGGTTTATTTACTCCCACCTCACAGCGGTGATCCAATTTCTTGCTGCCTTCGCCAAAGGTGTTCATGTAAACAATCCTTCCTTGTTGAGGATATATCAACTACAAAGAGATTGACAAGTTTACAAGGTACAATAAAGAAAAAGGATAGAAGTCAGGCAATGAAGCAAACCAGGAGTGTCTAGTTATTAGCTTCATTTACAGTCCCCAGCAGCAAATCATATTTTTGTACATCCGTCTATATGGGCATAGAAGTGATTACAAGATCAATACACTGAGCAACATAATATACTTTTGGTATTCATTTTATCAGAATTGGTACACGGGTTTACCCTTTTCATTAAACAAGACTTGCCATTCCACATTTTTGTCATTTCAAAAGGAATCAATGATGCATGCATGCCCTGCATAACTGTGTTTGCAAGACAATGCCAGGTATGCATTGATAACCTGCAACTGGAAAAATAAATATCCACAATTTTACCCCAGGGTGTTAATTTCAGTATTATGATGCTCAAATGGAAGCAACCAACCTCACTTTCAAGCTCCTTTCCAGGCCTGAGGTGCTCGAGATCCATAGAAAAGAGTTTGTATGGACCTATTTTGTTGCGCATTCGTCCTCTGATTTTACCTGCCCAGATGTTTTTTAACAATAAACACAAAAAGGCAATGCTTCATTTTTATTCAAATTAGCTTTGAAAATTGAAAGGAGGCTACATTACAAGTAAGCTGGGAGGCAGCAGGCAGGGAGGATGAAAGCTGGGTAGTGTGAAGATAAATGTTAAATGATGCAGGGAAAATTGTCTAATTGGCAAAGTAACAGGATGGGCGACCGCGACATGAGTTTAAAGAGATGGGCACTTGACAGTGACTGGTGTTAGAACAGGAACTGAAGGCATAGTGGCGGGTAAGGATGTTGTGACATATGTGACTTCTGGAGTTTTTGTTGGCGGTTCTTCTTGGAAGTGCACCAAGTGATAAAGGTTCACTTTAGGGTAGAGTTTTCCATTGTCCTCAATAACATCAATGCTTTTGTTATCCACATTTAGAACGGTATATGGGCCAACATAATCTGGGTCAAGCTTGCCTCCCTTTCTTTGCGGACTCCTTATATTTTGCCACAATACTCTGTCTCCAACCTGCAGGACCCTGGCCTTTCCTTGGAGCTTTCTTTTTTTAAATTTTAGCGTGATCCTGTGCCATATTTTCCTTAACCTGGTAAAGGCGGTCCTGTCATTTCACACATTCAGAAATGAACTCCTCTGCTATCAATTCCTCAACACTTTCGTTGATCTAAGAATAAAAATTGCACATATTACATTCACAAAGTAATTGCAGAAAACAAATTACTTAAATAATGTACTGACCTCATATTTGTCTGGTACCTCACATGGATACCTAGCCTCACGTGCAAAAAGCAAAAAATAAGGAGAAAATTTGGTAGTCAGTTGTTTTTTGGTTCGCAAGCCAAACATCGTGGCCTCCAAATAATCTGCCCACGAGCTTGGTTTTCTTTCCACTAGCTTGCTCAAAGTTCTATATAAGCAACAAGAGAAACATTATGGACCTGTTAATCAATACCAAAAGTGTTATAACTGAAAAAACAATTATTCCTAACCTCTGAATTGTGCCATTAAGCCTCTCTACCAGTCCATTAGTTTACGGGTGGTATGTTGCACATAAGCTCCTGTTGATGCTCAGTGTTTGGCACACACCTAGATTGATCTGTATATACAAGACACAAGTTTAATTTTTAGTTGAGCAAGAATTTCATAAAAAAATT